CCCCCCGCGGTGATTAACTCCCGCTAACGAAGCGCTAATGTCCCACTTTCCGCAGCAATTTAATTAAGCAGCAACACACAGCGCGGCTCCTCCTGCCCAGGTGCGAGTGTAATTAAGGCAGGGTCAGACAAACAGGGAGGGGGCTGCCCGGCCCGGCCCCCTCGGAGGCCCCCACCAGCCTGGCACGGGGCTGAGCCCTCGTGCCCAAAGCCCAGGGTCACCGCGGACCTCCAGCCAGGACACGTCTGCGTGTGCAGCCACAGCAACCCCCACCCCCACTGCAGACTCCAAAGGAGCTAAAGGAGAATCGCTACCAGGTCAGCAATATAGGGCCTATGGCATGCAGGAGGGCAGCTCCAGTTCCAACCAACAGAGGGCAGCATGTGCAGGTTCACTTAGAAACCCATTTTACAGATGGGGAAAACTGAGGCCCAGAATGGCCAGCCTTTCCCCTCCTCCTCAAATCCTCTCACTCAAAGCCCAGGCCGCTTAGGGTCTGATCCCCGGCTCTTTTAAGACCCGGCTGCAAGAAATTCACCCCTCCACCCCGACAGCCGGAGCCAGACCAGGGATGCCAGCCCCACCCGTCATGCCCAGCCCCGCCTCTCCTGACCAGGGTGGGGGTGGCTGCATGTGTCACAGGCCCTATACAGCCAGCAGCTCAGGGGATTCCCAGACACCCTGCTCCCCCCACCACAGAACATAGCCCCCCGAGGTGCCCAGACCCACGGCCCGGGTTCCCCGGAGGAAGCGCACAGGCCACAGTAGCTAGATGGGGCATGTCTGGGGGCAGCGAGCTGCCCAGGCCCCCGGGCATCCTGCCCCAGCGTGGTGGGGCCGAGGCGTGTGCCGGCACCGGGCAGGGAGCTGCTGCAGCCGCTCGCTCCATTGCTGTCCGCTCGCCTCAGACCCATCCATCAGCGCTGCCAGCCTCTGCCCTCGCCCATACTCCCGTGCACGCACATGTGTGTGTACATGGGCACCCACACCCGTGTGCCCCCCCTTGCAGCGCAGTGTATACTCACACGTGTGCATACACACCTGTGCATACACGAGTGCCCATACATGTGCACACATGCGAGAAGGGCAACTACTGTAGTGCCTTGCATACAACACGCTCGCACTACGCCCAGAGCTGCGATTTTGGCAGGAAAAGGCTTCTCCTGAGCTGCCAGTCACCAAGCAGCCGCCCCGCAGCCGGGTCTGGGAGCTGCTCTTACCATATTTCCCTGACTAGAACGTGCAGCTGCCCCTTTCCCGGCCCACCAGAGCTCCTTGCTCAGCACCAGAAGACAGCACCTGCCAGTGCTGGGGTGGCTTTTGCCGGTCTCCCACGACCCACCTGGCATCGGGGAGAGTTAAACCCACCCAGGGAGCTCAGGAGGCAGCATGCCCCCCCTTCCCCCTGCTCACACTGGGGACCCCAGTGGAAAGGAGCCCAGCCTGCATCTCCCCAGGCAGCTGCCGACAGCTGGACGCCCAGGTTGGCTCAGCTCCAGCCCAGCCACTTCCCCTAATGAATCCGCCGCTAACGAGAGGAGCCAGCTGGGGGGGCTGGGAGCCGCTCAGCCAAGGGACGTCTCCTCCTGCCTCCTTTACAACGCCCCTCTGCGGCCCCCTCCCCAAGCCCCCAAAGGGGGCATCCTGGAGGAGCCCTGGGCTGGACGGGGACCAGGGCCTGGGGCTGCGAGGGGCTGGAGGGGAGCCAGCTGGGGGGGCTGGGAGCCGCTCAGCCAAGGGACGTCTCCTCCTGCCTCCTTTACAACGCCCCTCTGCGGCCCCCTCCCCAAGCCCCCAAAGGGGGCATCCTGGAGGAGCCCTGGGCTGGACGGGGACCAGGGCCTGGGGCTGCGAGGGGCTGGAGGCTGCAGCCCAAGCACAGCCAGGCCTCCAGGCCGGGGTCTCTGGAGGCCAAGGG